TCTCTCTGTCTTGATCTGTGTGATGCTATGGAATACTGTATATTTCATTATTATTGCAGGTCATCATTGACTTCTTTTTCTCAACTCCTAAATGTTCAGATAATAATAATAATAATTATTATTATTATTTTATGTGTATGAGTGTATTGCTTGCACGTAGGTAGGTACACCCATGTCATGAGATGCTCACAGGAGGTCAGAAGAGGGCATCGGTTCCCCTGGAACAGGAGGTACAGACGGTTGTTAGTTACCATATGAGTGCTGGGAATCAAATCTAGGTCCTCTGCAAGAGCAGTCAGTGCTCTTAACAGCTGAGTTACCTCTCCAACTCCTAAATGTTTAGTTCTTATATTTTGTTTGCTTGTTTACATTTTTTATTCACTCAATTATTCTTCATCTCAAAAATCTCAGGCATGGTGGCACACGCCTTTAATCCCAGCACTTGGGAGGCAGAGACAGGTGGAGTTCTGTGAGATCAAGGTCAGCCTGGTCTACATCGTGAATTTGAGGCCAGCCAGGGCTACAGGGAGACCCTGTCTTAAAAACAAACAACAAACCAGAAAACAACCCACCAAAACCAAAATTTCATCTCGAAGTTTTTTAACATAGAAGGAAGGGATGATATGCTTTTAAATTTTTATTTATTATTTTTATTTCATGTGTATGTGTGTATTGCCTGCATAGTAAGTAAGTGCAGCCACGTCGTGCAATGTCCATGGAGGTCAGAAGAGCCTGTTGGATCCCCTGGGACTGGAGTTATGGACAGTTGTTAGCTGCCATGTGGGTGCTGGGATTCAAACCCGAGTCTTCTGCAAGAACAACTAGAGTTTTAACTGCTGAGCCATCGCTCCAGCCCCAGAATGATATGCTTTTAAAGGGATGTATAAGCAAAACTCCTTGTGATGATATCTAAGGACACACAAATATGGGCTATGTATAAAATTTCTGGAGTAAAAAACTTTTAAAGAGGGGCTGGAGAGATGGCTCAGCAGTTAAAACTCTGGTTGTTCTTGCAGAAGACTTGGGTTAGAATCCCAGCACCCACATGGCAGCTAACAACTGTCCATAACTCCAGTTCCAGGGGATCCAACAGCCTCTTCTGTCTTCCGCGGGCATTGCACGACATAGGTGCACTTACCTACATGCAGGCATAACACTCG